GACTCCGGGCAGTTTCGGGAGCCCAAATTCGGTGGGGGAGCCGTCCGTGCCCGCCGCGGACACCCTCGGGCCGGCGCGCGGGCCCCAAGAGGCCGAGGAGGGTGGGTTTCATGCTCCAGCGCGGCAGAGCTCCGGGCCTGCAGGTGGTCCCCATATCCGCGTGGCGGGAGGGGACACGGAGGGAGGCCTGGGTGGAAAGGCCTTGGCATTAGGCCAAGCAGAAGGGCACATGACCGCGGGCCTCTGGAACTTAGCTTTCCTCGACAGAAGACGGGAGGCCTGCCCACAGTGAGGAGGCGCGGAAGGGTAGCCGGGGGCCATAGGGAGGGGCGGGGCGGGCGTTGGGCTGGCCCCCAGGAGAGGCCCGGAGGGAAGGGGAGGCGTTTGGGTGCCCTTGTAGGGCAGGCTTGAATTGGGGCGGGCGGCAGAAACATTCCAGGAGGAGCTACAGAGCAAGCCTGGGGCTGGGAGGGCTCCTGGGGCGCCCCCAGTCCAGGGAGAAGGGTGTCGCCTGCCCTTGAAGGGTGGGGCAGGGGAGCAGGGGTCCCAGGTGGCCACACCACCCTCACGTCCCGGATGAAGTCAGGCACTGGTACTGGTAGGGAGTGGCAGAGCTTTAGTGAGGGGGGCTGGGAGCCCTCCAGGCCCAGGCTGCTTTGTCTCCCCAACCCTGGTTCCACAGGCCAGGGGTGTGTGTGGTGGGGGGGTTCTCCTCTTCATCCCTTTTCTACCCCCTCCCATCTCCTCTCTTCTGCAGTCACCCCATTCTAATGCTGGGTCACCTGCTCCCCACCACCTGGTGACCTTAGCATCCATCCCAAAGGATGCTTCATCCCCATCTGGCCTGTCTGTTCCTTGGCCTCTTCCTTCTGATGACGCCACCTCTGCCTGCCACTACCATGGCTGTCCCTATATTGCTTGGTCTTCACCGACACTTGCCCTCTCCAGTCTGTCCCCAGGGGTCCTGCTGATTGCCACTCCTGCTTCTCAGCCTGCAGGCTCACAGCAGATCACCTGTCGCCATCTGGCCACTCAGCCCTACTTCCCGGCTTCACTCTCTCCTACATCCTTGCCTTCCCTCACCCCTGGCTCACCTGGCAGAACCCACCTGGCCCTGTATCCAGTAGCCTCTGTCCTCCTCCAACCACTCATCCGCTCATCCATTCACTCATGCATTCATCCAACAATATGCTTTCTTCACACCCACTCCCTGCCCATATGTTGCCCCATGTCTGCTCCCCATCCTGTGCTCCCACTGTGTTCCCACCATTCACGAGGACATTCAAGCCAGAACTCCCAAAGAGGGTGTCATGGCAGCCTCCTCCTCCTTCCACCCACTCCTCACATCCACTTGGGCATCAATCCTGCCCACTTTGCTTCCCAAACCTGTCCTGGATGCCCCAGGGCAGCTTACAGTGTCCACCCAACAGGTGAAGGGGCTGCCGAGCCTGAAGAGCCACACAGGCTGACAGTGGGAGGGAGCTCCAGGGTGGACCCAGCTTGCACCCCAGACAGTCCCTGCCAGCCTTCCAGGCTCCCCAGTCGACAGTCATTCTTTCACCCAAACCCTATGGAGAACCATCCTCCCGCCTGCAGGACTCCCTCGCAGTGGAAGGGGGGGACCAGCAAACTGATCATTACAGCCCGTAAATGGTATTAGCTGTCCTGGGAGAGCTTGGCCGTGGTCCGGGCTTGGGGCACTGGGGAGGGCTTCCAGTTGCAGGGGTGGGGTGTCCCCATGGGCTGAGCCAGCGTAGCTGCTGTGAGGTCAGGGTCAGGAGGCCACAGCGGCGAGGATGTTGCGACTAGGGATCACACAGAGTGGGTCCTGGCCCTGGCCAAGGCCCAGGCCCCTCTCCTCTGTTGCTGGCCCTGCCACTCCAGCCACAGAACTTGGTGAGTCAGCTACTGGGAGCCTGGGGGACCAACCCAGGCTGACCCTGGCCCTTGTGAAGTTGGTGGGGGGCGGGGGTGGCCCGTCCAACACTCAGTCCAGCCTGGGGCAGGGGGCGGGGCCAGGGCCCTCCCCCACTGGTGCTCTCTGCTGCAAAATGGGGGCCACAGTGCTGACTTTGTAGGGCTGTTGAGAACGTTAAAGAGTGTGTGTGTGGAGAGGGCTGACATGTTGTCCCTGCGGTCACGAGAACCTGCCCCCCACAGGGGTCGTGAAGGCCCCAGCTCTGTGTGGGACCAGGCGCTTTTGATTCATGAGAAATGACTAAACAGTCCTCACTTCCGCAGCGCACGGCTAAAAGTGGAGCGATACGTGCAGATTACCACAGCCCCGGCACAAGGCTGACACAGTTCAGGAAGTGCCCCACATTTCTCTGATACTATAATAAACGTCACATTTTAGCAGAGTTTGGGAGGTACATGTGTCAGTTATTTTGAGATCTGTATAATATCTATCATCCATCTCTACTGGCAGAGATGTATGCCCCCCGAAATACATGGATTTATTTTAAAACAAACAAATAAGGACTAAATAACTCCGTGAAGGGGAGAGTGTAGCTCAGTGGCAGAGCACATGCTTAGCACGCATGAGGTCCTGGGTTCAAGTCCTAGCAGAATTCTTGGAAAAAAAACCAAAACAAAACAAGAAAAAAACTAAGTGAAAGCGGGCCAGGCTGGGCCAGTGAGGAAAGGATGCATGCTTTATTGACTCCCTGCGCCTGGAGCCCAAAGGGCGAAAAAAAGAAAAGGCGGAGGTCAGTGACCATGTTTGGCCCAAGGGAGCCCTGGGGAAGGTGGGCTTCCTTTTCCACGGCCGGCCTCCTGAGCTGTGGAAATCGGGAAAACGGTCTGGGGGGTTGACTCAAGGTGTCCCCTGAAGTGCCATGGGGGCCCCTTCGCCTGCCGCTGGAGCCCACCCCTGCGCATGCAGCCCACTCGCCTCACACCCTCCGGTCTACAGGCGTGAACCACAGCCTGTCACTCCCCTGGGCACAACCTGCCAACTCCGTACCATGGCCGGGATGCATTTGGGTGGCAAATGACAGAGAAGCTGGGCCAGTGTGTGAGCGGCCTTCCCCGGGCCAGGCTGGCTGGCTCAGTGACCCACCAAGGCCACAGGGCCGCTGTATCTGAACATGCCTGCAGGTACCCTGTCTCCATTTCATCAGGAAAAGGGGGCAGGGGTAGAGGTCAAGGAATGTGCCACAGCTGTGTCCAGCCCTTTTGCAGAGCCCAGCCACTGCCTCCATCTCACTGGCGGGATCTGGACACTCGGCTACCTCTAGCCGCGGAGGCCTGGTCTCCCTCTCAGACCGTCCAGCTGTCTCCTCCACGTTCCTCTCCCTAGCCTAGCTAGAGAAATAAGGAACAGTCACCCGAAGAAACGCCACACAACTATTTACAAAAATGTGGCCAGTGTGAACACACTGCTAAGGAAAGCTCTGTCGTGGGTTGAACTGAGGTCCTCACCTCAGGTACCTGCGAAGGCAACCTTATCTGGAAATGGTCTTTGCAGGTCTTATTCATTAAGAGGGCTTCCTGGAGTAGGGTGGGCTCTCAAGCCAACGACTGGTGTCCTTATAAAAAGAGGTGAAGAACAGAGACATAGAGGGGAGAAGGCCACGTGAAGATGGAGGCACGCTGGAGAAATGTGCCTACAAGCCAAGGACTGCCGGCCCCCTGATGCCAGGAGAGGCCAGAAAGGTTCTTCCCTGGAAACTTCAGGAGGAACCAACCCTGCTGACAGCTCGGTTTCACACTTCTGGCCCCCAGGACTTAAGAGAATAAATGTCTATTGTTTCTGCCACAGTTTGTGGGACATTGTTATGGGAACCTGCTACAGTCTCCCAGATAATCGGCAACTGCAGAAAGCAAAGAACAGAACGGTCAGTCCCTGGGCCAGGCTTTGCGGGAGCCTGGAGGTCCCCACATGCTGGGACTTGCCTGGGACTTGCTGGCAGGTCCTCCGGCCACTGGAGGGGGTCCTGCTCCAGGAAGGGGGGCACCGGCTGGGAGGGGTGGGGACAAGTTTTCCTCTTCGCTGTACAGGGTGGGGTCTGTTTGCATTTGTATTTCTAACCACATTACTGTATTACTCATTCCAAATAAAATAAATACAAATTCAAATCAGGGAGAAGATGGAGTGTCCAAAAATTTATTAAAAACCCCGCACCTCTGCCAACCTGTCCTCCTGCCTGACTTGGTGATGTTTAACCATCAGTGGCTTGGGCGGGAATGGGGGACCCTGGGTTTTAGCATCTGCATGGTTTCTTTCAGAGGAAAGAGTAGGGAGAGAGGCCAGGAAAATTTCATTGGAGAAGGATGCTGCCTGGGACCCCAGGGTGCTGGGGGCTCCGCTGGGTTCATGGAGCCTGTGATGCATCTGAGGACACCTTGCCTGGGGTCACCAGCTAGCCCCTTCCCACCCGCCTGTCCCTGGTAACTGCAGACAAGCCTGACGTCACAGGCTGGTGCTGGGGGTTCAATGGGGTATAAAGGCCCAGGAGAGCAGGCGCACTCCAGGAGGGAACGTTGAGGGGGGCCTCTCTCCTGCTCCCTCTGCAGGTGGGCAGAGGCTTCTGGCTCAGTGGTTGGAAGGTTAGAGACTCCAGGTTGGCAGCTGTGGAGACTCAGGGTGCCCAGGATTGACGCCAGGAGGCTGAGCAGATGTGGGGGTGGGCAGACATGAAGACAACACCCCTTTGGCATGAAAGGCCTCCTCCAGGAAGCCCTCAGAGGCCGTGTAGGCTGGGTTAGGTCTAACCTCAGATGGACAGGTCCATTCACCCTTCAGAGCTCCACGGAAACCTCCCTGCTCTGGGAAGACGTTTCTGGCCTCCGGTAGAGTCCTCTGAGCCTCCACACTGCAGCCTTTCCAGAGAAGTCACAGCACACAGCCTCCAGCTGGAGGACGGTGAGCACCAGGCCTCCCATCACTTGCTGAATGGCTGAGCTGCATCCAACGGGCCTGTGAGATTTACTCACTTAATCCCCAGGCCTCCATTAGCCCCATTTTGTAGATGAGGAAACTGAAGATCCAGGGGTAGCCTACAGCCCACCCAGGCCACACAGCTGGGGCTGCCATCAGGGCCTGAGGGCACATAGGCCACCAAGCCGGCTCCTCGGGCTCCAGTGAGGGGGTGGGGAAACCCCTTCCTCTGTGATCCACAAGTGCAGCCCTGTTCTCTTGAAAAAACAAAGAACACTTTATTCCCTTGGTGGTTTCTGTACAACGATGCCACAAGGTGGGAGTCCTTCTTCCTTGAACAGTCTGTCTCCTGGGAGAGCTTATCATATCAGCCAGGAGGCTGAGCCTCACTCAGGGCAAAGGAGACCTCAGTCACCTCCAACTTGTACAGAAGCATTCGCCACCTCCTCGTCCCATCTCACGGCCACAATGTACTGGAAGTGCCAAGCTGCCCCAAGCTCACACCTCCACTCTGCTCCTGGTGACAGCCCCTGGAGGGTGGGCTCAGGTGCTGTTCGGTCTGAAGGGGTCCAAACCTGCCATACCTGTGCCCACTAACAGGCCCTGCCTGGCCTCGCGGAAACACCAGGCACTGAGATCGCCTAGGAAAGACACCGCCTGCTGGGGAGGGGGCTCCCTATACTGCTTTCCCTGCTGACCCCTCTGCACACGTCAGGAAAACTTGGATGGCAGTAGTAGGCCAGCGCTCCAGACAGCAGCTGACCTATGCCCCCATTTTACAGATGGGCAGCCTGAGGCCCAGATGGTGAAAAGACTTCCCTTGCCTCAGCTGTATTTAATTGAGATCACCTCTCCTACTGGCCTGTGCCCACTCCCCTACTCCAGCCCCTAGGCTAATATGGCACCTCTAGAAGGTTCTTCTTAGTGGGTCCCCCAGGTTACCCTCCAGTGGGACTGGCAGTAGGGGTACTCGTGGCAGTGCCATATGGAGAAGCTGTGGGCACTGGCAGAGGGCTCAGTTCTATGACACCAGGAGGCCTGAGCTGCCTGCCTGTCCCATACAGACCACACAAGAGGCCAAGACGTCCCCAGAGCTCTGCCTGGCTGAGGGTTTCCAACTAGTGAGTCGCTGAGCAGCCCATCGATGGGGAGAGAGACCCTGTGGGGCTGTGGCTGGGATCCCAGGGAAGGATGGAGTGTTGGCTGGGTTTCTGGAAGACTCAAAGTAACCGTGCCAGGCTGGCACTGCACCAGGCATCATCTCTGAGCTTCCTGACTGTACGACATGGGTGCGAGGATCCCCGTTTCACAGTGGAGAAAACTGAGAAAGTCAAATTTGTGGCCAAGGTCACCCAGCCGAGGAGAATGCAACCCAGGTCTGATGGAGTCCACGACCCATGGAGTTTGGGAGTCTGGGCAGGGCAATCGGCCAGGGGTCAATTTATATCTATGTTGTGTTTTTGAAAAGCGGTCCTTGGGGAGGTCGGGCTCTTCCCTGCCAGGGTCCCAGGCATCACAGGCTGGAGGGCTGGGCCAGGGTAGGACCTGCTGGGGCAGCAGAGGTAGCGGGCACAGCCTCGCCCTCAGGCCGGGCCTCCTCACCACGCGCATAGGTGAGCACCACAGTGACGGTGGCAAAGGTGGCGGCGTTGACGGGGAAGGCGCGTAACAGCGTGGAGGCCAGGCCGCGCGTGAAAACACGCCAGCCCTCGGCCTGGTAGCTCTGGCGCACGCAGTCGACGATGCCGCGGTAGCGGGGGGTGCCCCGCAGCCCATCGGCCTGCAGCCGCGACTTGACCACATCCACAGGGTAGGTGGAGAGCCAGGACAGGATGCCCGACGTGCCGCCCGCCAGCAGCAGCTTGGGCACCACCAGGCGGTCGCCCGGCTCACAGCCCAGCGCGCGGGTCAGCACGTCGTAGGCGAGGAAGTAGACGCCGAAGCTGGGGGTCTCGCGCAGCAGAGTGGAGGCCATGCCCCGGTTGACACCGCGCAGGCCTTCCTGCCGGTAGATCTGCGCCAGGCAGTCCAGGGGGCCGCGGTAGGTGCGGGCGGGCCCCGCGTCCTGCAGTTGCAGCCGTGTCTTGGCCAGCTCCATGGGGCAGCAGATGACGCACTGGATGGTGCCCGCCGCCGCGCCCGCCAGGAACTGGTTCAGTGGTGAGTCCTGGCCCAGGGCCCGGAGGGTATTACCCTGTACTCCGAACACCAGTGCATTGATGAAGGTGAGTCCCATGAGGGGCGAGCCCAGGCCCCGGTACAGGCCCAGCACCTGCAGGGCGCACGAAGCCATGTCAGCCTTCGGTTGCCCTGCCCCCCTCCCCAGGGAACCCCCACTGGTGACAGCTCCCCCAGCCCACCCCAAGTGGTCACCAGCATCAAACAGAATTTTATTAGAACCAAAGTCCTCAATCTCAGAGGCCTGGGCTTCCCGTTTCCAAAGCCAGGATTTGCCCAATAGTTACCCGGATGCCTGCTTTTCCCACTCTGTGGTCTGCGAGTGAAGCAGTCTAGGCTGGTTTCCCACCCCCACTGGTCCCAGGCCCAGGTCACTCACGCTCTCCTGCTTGATGATGGCCTGGAAGCAGTGCAGGGTCCCTCGGTACTGGGGCTTCTCCATGCTCTGGACCTGAAGCCGCACCTGGAAGGGGGGCCCAGTGAAAGGCAGCAAGCCAGGGCAAGAGCACCCAGCTCCCTGGGGCTGGCACTTGGTCAGCCCAGATCTCAAGGAGGCAATAGGCTGGACGCATGAAGCGGGGAGCTAAGTAGCTTTCTGTGGCTTTTAGAATTCCAGGGTGAGGCGGGGCGAGGCTGGGTGTCTGTGCCTCCTCAGGGAGGGATATCGGTGGGCAAACGGCCAGAGGCAGCCAGCTGCAGAGGGGCAGCGGGTCCCCAAGACCTCAGATGAATAGAGGGTAAGCCCCCTGCTTCACTCTCTCTGCACTACATACTGACAGTGGGACATGAGGCATCTCCTGAGATCTCCCCACTGTCCGGGTGGCAAATCATGGCCAATGCCAAAGGGGCTCCGGGTCTAGCGTCCACTCTCCCCTTATCGGGGGCTAGCAGCATGCAATGGGCTCTAAAAGTGAGGCATCTTGGGCCTCACGGGCCTCCCACTTGGTTTCTGCTAGGGGCCCCTGGTGAGGGCAGTGGTCATGAGTTAGTAAAGTGGTGGCAGGAGAGGAGCTGACAGCCTCCTTGGGGACCACGTCAGCAGCTCTGGGACCTGGGGGATCAGGTTTGGCTGCCCTTGGAGCCCAGCAGTCTAGAACCTTACTGTGAAAGCCTTCTTTGTTGACGGGGAGCTTATCTCTGCGCTGGATACGCAGGCCCCACGGTGCGGAGTGGGAACACATTTCCTTAACTCAGAATCCATGTCACGGGGTGGAGGGAGCTAGGTTAAGTCCCATTCTCAGGAGCTGGTCTCCAGCTCTGACAGAAATCATCACTCTCACAGCCAGGGCCACGGCGTGAGCGCCTTTCTGTGCTGGGCAGCGGAGAGAGGCTCGGACGTAATTACCAGCCTGAGATGGGTTCAGTTACTCCCATTTCAAAGATGGGAAGACTGAGGCTCAGAGATACTTGGCAACTCGGCCAAGGCTGTCCCCTCCAAGGACATGAGTGGCTGTGTTGGTCGAGGCCAGGGTGGGCGGGGGTGCTGCCTGGTGAGACCAGGTGGATCGTCTGTTGGCAAATGCACTTACAGAATATGCTTTGTGAGGAAAAGAGTACCACCTCTGCACCCAAGGACCCCGACAGCTGGCACCCCTGCTCTGAGAGGCAGCTGACAACTGAGGGCCCCTGCAGCGTTCACCCCAGCACCCCTCCCCACCCTTATAATAATAATAAGGCAGAGGAGAAATAATAATAAGGCCCAGAGGAGGAAAACAACCACTCAGCGAACTTTAAGATGTTAACACCATGAGTTCTGGCTCAGGCTGTTTCTGTGATGCGAGGTTTTTCATTTTCCCTTCAGTGTTCTGGGGTCTCTGGGGGACCGCCTCTTCCTCCTGTGGCCCCTGACACTGACACCAGGGCTGTGTTAGCAGACAGGATATGAAGCAGAGCTGTCCCATCCATGGGTCGCACTTTCAGACACCCCGGTGGCATCTCTAAGCAGGCTGGACATGGTTTCAAGCCAAGGCTCAGGCCAGCTCAGGTCCCACAAGAGACTGCAGGGAACTACTCCTGTCTGTGTCTGACCCCCAGGTCTGGGGTGAGAGCCTGCTGTCTAGGAGTCTAAAGGACCAGATTTGGAGGTAAAATGTGGCCCAGTGGCCCAAGTCCCAAAACTTTGAGAGGTGAGGTTCTTAACATTCTGAGGGACAGGACCTTGTGCAAGAAAAGTGGTCATTCACACACCAGCCCAGGAAGCTCCCAGCTCCCCACATGGGCTAGAGACCCCAACATGAAGATCCTCTGATCCAGAGGGGGCTGATTTTTCTCAGCCAGCACCAGGGCCCCCTCCCCAGGACCTGTGCTGGGTCCAGGCTCACCTCACACCCTCCCTGTCCCCTGCTAGTCCGGGAGGGAACTCGGTGGGGAGGGCGGGGCCGGGTGGGGTCCAGGCCCAGGGACTGATTCAGCGAGAACAGGGAAGAGAAGCGTGGGGTTCACCTGGTCTGTACTTACTAGCGCTCTCCAGGGTGAGGCTTACGCTCATCTACAACAAAGTTACATTTTGCTATGGATGGAGACAGCCCCTAGCTCAGAAAGTAAAGGCAGTTAAAGCAACACAAAATTTCAACATCACATCCAGGCACGGGACCCCCAAGGCCAGCCCCCAGCCTCCCCGCTCCCTCCCCGGCCCAGGACAGCTGCTCCCTGGGAAAAGCAGGCTCAGACATGGCGTCTCTGGTTACTGTCATGTCCAGCGATGTGGGACAGAACATAAATTTCCCACAGAAACACGTGTGGAGGTGGTGTGTCTAAGGCCAGTGGCTGCAGTTCTGGGCCAAGAGAGGGAAAACCAAATTTTGGACTCAAATTTCAGTTCTAAGGACTTAGAGGAACAAACTGCAAATGTCCCGGCCCTGAGACAGTGTGGATGGACATGGAGCACTGTGTCCCCTCACAGATTCCGAGCACAGGCCCAAGCACATGAGGTTTGAGAAGAGGTAGAAGGGACCACGGTGCGAGGTCAGGATGGCGGCTGCCTGGAGAAGGGGAGGGCGGAGCTGTCAGGAGGGGAGTGGGGAGCTTCTGGGGGGCTGGCCTCGTTTCTTTCCTCAGGTGTGGGATGATCATCACGATTCACACATGCAGCAGGTGTGTGCTTCTCTCCACGTGTGGAATTTCAATTAAAACAACAGCCGCAGAGCTAAGAAGCACATCCCGCTTTTGCCAAAAGCAAGGAATATACATGGGTCCGCGTGCATGCCTGTTTGTCGGTAGAAATCGGTAACAAGGGTTGGGGGAACGTTACATAAAGGACTGTTGTTTTTTTTCTTTCTAGTTTATATTTCTCTATTATGGCTAACATTTTGTTTTGTTTTGTTTTGTTTATGACCTATATCACTTATGTAATAGAAAGCCAGCCAAAAAGATGTGTATGTACCTGATGATTAAAACACATTTAAAATCTATCACATTTCCCAAATTTCTTTTAATTAGAATGCTTAAATTTCATAATGGAAAACAGCCAGTTTAAAAATAATAAGGCAGGGGGATACAGCATTAAAGTGGATGTGCTCTCTAGTCAGCACAGTGTAGTAGTGTGTGGGCCCGTGGTGGGACAGGTGGGGTCCAAGGTTGAGTGGCAGTGGTCATTCCTGGGGGGGGAGGTTCTCCCCCTTCATAGTAAAAAGCTTGGCTTGTAAAGACAGGTTTGCCCAGGTGTGATGCTGGTGGGCCACAGTTACAAATGGATTTCCTTAAAGACCACCCTCCAGGTGCCAGGTAAGGGTGGGGGGTGTCCCAGAGGCAAGAACTCAGTGGGGTGGAGAGGATCCTGTATCTGAATTACTACAGGGGGCCCAGGTCATGGCTCAGGTGCTCAGAGGGAACTGGAGGCACCAGGACAGTGCCCCCACCCCCGCCTGGTGGGACTGACTGAGGGCAGAGACCTCTGCGAAGCTGGGCTGAGGAAGAGACTCAGAGGTACTTCTTGGCTGGATGCAGCTTTGGGAGGTACTCACAAGATAGAGCACGGCGTAGCATGGGCCCTTGGCCAGGCTGCTTTGGGCGCCCCGGCCAGCAGGCAGGCTCCATGGGTGGTCAGCTGGGCAGAGCACGGGACAGCATCCCACAGCACCTCACTCTCAGCGGGTGCGTTGGGGGACTCAGGGGCTCCTGCCTGGCCAGAAAGCCTGACCCTTCTGCCTCCTCCCCAAATTTGCCCACAGTGGACGGGGAGGAAATAGGTGCCCATGAGAACTTGCATTTCGTCCAGCACAAACTACGCTGCTGAGCCCAGGGAACAAAGGCTTCAGTGATCTTGCCAGCCCCTCACCGTGCAGGTCAGAGGTAGCGTGACGGGCCACGATCCCAGGGCAGAAGGCTGGCAGAGGGCCTGGAGGGGCACGAGCCCCAGAGACAGGACTTTTTCTGGTCAGAGCCAATGCATACAGCAGGGCCCTCATGCCTTTCCTGGAGGAAATCCCAGCCCTAGTTCACAAGACCTGTTCTCGGCCCAGGAACACCTGGGCTCCTGAAAAAAGAGATGGGAAGTCCACTCTGCCAGCTAGGGATGACAGCCTCGCCTGCGCTCTGCCCTCGCCCCAGTGGGAAGTGGGGCCAAGTTCAGTGTTGACGGCGAGACACAAGGTCTGGCCTAGTGCCTGCTGCCTGCAGCTCACCTGGCCCCCAGGGAAGCTGGCAAGGAAGGGCCCTGACTTGGCTCGTTTAAGGACAAAAACGCCAACAGCAGGGGGAAAATCTTATTTGGGAATTTCCAGCTGGGAACGTGGACTTCCTTGGTTTCCTTTCAGAGGCATCGGAGAGCCCACAGCCCGACAGTGTCCCAGGTGCAGGCTCGCGGCACAGGGGCCACAGTGTGGAGCCATCAGCACCCCGCGGGCGCACACTGGCCCTCAGGAAATGACCGCTCACTTTCTCAGCACTGATAACCACTGCCCTGTGAAGACCACAGACACAGGAAGGACTGACAAGGTTTGACTTTTCTGTTATTTTCTCTCTGAACTTTTCTTTTAGGAAGCTGGCTGGAGTTCTGTGTAAGGACAGTGTGGGTGTGCCCGCTCTGGGCAAAAGGAAACGTAACTTTGGCCCCTAAGTCCCAGCTGGCCAAGCCCCAGGAAGGATCTCGAAGTTCAGCCCTGGGTGGGAGACGACAGGACAGACCCAGGAGGACAGGCCCGCTCGGCCGGCTGGACAAGCCGCCGCTCGCCTGGGCAGCGGGGAGAACCCTGAGTCTACCTTTACTCTAGAACCTGTGGGAAGACCTTGGAAGTGTCCCTGCGGCGGTCATCAGAAAGGAGCCTCCAGCTGCCCCAACCCTGTGGGCCTCCCTCCAACGTCTGTACCTCCACAAGGGCCAGAGAATAAAACCGCGACAAGAGACTCACCTTGACCGTGTCAAACGGGTGTCCCACCAGCACGCCTGCCACACCTGGAGGAAGAAAGGAGGACTTGTGACCCAAATGCCCTGAAACCGCAGTGTGGGGTGGAGACCTGGCTGGGACTGTGTGGGAGCTGCAGTGTGCCTGGGGCCCGGGAGCCCCTTCATCTTCATGGCCAGGGTTGGGGTGGGGCCGGGGTAGGTCAGGGTGACATCCCCAAGGTCAAGCCAGGATCCATCCAACTCAAAGCTGGTGTCTCTCAGTCCGCCCTGCCGCTCACTGCAGGTGACCACAGAAGTTGCCCCTTGGGAGGCTGCACATGGCGCTTCTAAGATGGTCCCATTTCCCCAGTACCTAGCATGGTCAAGGGCTCCAGAGATTTTGGACTTGGGGCCAGAGCCTCATGCAGATTTAAAGTTTTGCTGTCATCCACCAGCTGGCTGAGCTCACAAAGGCCTTGAGTCTGAGCCTCACTCTCCTCACCTGTATGGGTGTGAGCGTCACCCTCCCCAGGGCAGCCCCCAACTCTGGAAGTGCCGACCCAGGACCAGATGCATCACAGGTGCTGGCTTCCCACCCCCTCTTCTCTGCCTGGGAGCCAGCTTGTGACTCTGCATTCATGCTTGGTTACGTATCAGTCCCGGACTTGCCAAAACCCAGCACCCCCTCAAAGGACAAAGGCTCTCCCTCCAAATGGCTCACAAACACTTCTCAGAGTCCTGCGTGCTGTACATATCACTGCTGTAGACATCCCTGTGAATCAGGCAGTCCTGTTCCCCCGCCTCACAGAAGGAGAAACTGAGGCTCAGGGAGGTCAAGTAACTGCCACACCAACTCCCATGCCTTCCTCCCTAGAATTTCATGGGTGTACGTCTCAAAGCACTCCTTTTATTGCTAGTGGTGTTTGTGTGTAATTAAAACCAGCCAACACTTGTTGGGTCACAAACAGTAACGTTCCTGCCTACTGGTTACTGTCCTTAGTCTTGTACTGACACCCCCTCTGCTATTCCTACAAAGAAAAGACCTGCTCATCTTACAGATGAGGAAACTGAGACACAGAAAAGCAGTCTGTCCACGCCACACAGCTAAGCAAGTGGTGGAGCCAAGATCTGCCCCAGACCTGGCCCCGGAGCCCTCCCCCTTCACCACACATACCC